GCGACCCGGCCCTCGATAAGTGGAAGAAAATGGATGGATGGATAATTATTTCAGCAAAAAGTCAAAGTGAATTTTTGCTGAGGACTTGTTAATCCTTTTACAAGTTTTCTAAATTTATTCTTTAAATGTTATCACAAGGTTGTCACAGTGGAATACAATCAGTAATATAAAACATAATGGAAATGTTTTAATATCCACTGAATGTCCACTTTTTGTTCTGGAAAGACAACAAATGAAATTTATGACGTCCAGTTAAGACCTTGTTGTTTTGGAGGCAGTGAGTTCTGAGCTGTTTAATCTGAAACAAACAGAAGTTGTGTAATATTCTGAGTTTCCGATGACACTGATCGACGTGTAGCGCAATAATGTGTTTGCTATCGAGGTCATCATTGTATCGGACCGCACGATTGAGGTGTTCCCTCTTACAGAATGTGACAAACATTTATTAATAATAATAATAATAATAATAATGGATTGCATTTATATAGCGCTTTTCGGGACCCCTCAAAGCGCTCCAATACAGCAGGATGTCCATCACATTAAATACGTCACTCTGTCAGACTTCCTGGCAGAAAGAAGTTCTTTTGGGTTGCGTTAGACTTCAGATGTTGATAATAAATGAGGCATTGTATGTGTATATAGTACTGGTAGCAATGGTTAAGATGTTGCTTTTGTCAGAAGGTTTCTGGGCAGTTTCACACATCCCCTTTTTTTTTTTGTTTTTGTCAGTTTACGTGACATAAAAAGAGAAGTAGGACTTTACATCTTTAGATTTCATCAGCGCTATCTAAGACTTGCATTGATGATGAGATCTAAACTCCAGACCAGTTTTGAAATGGGAGTCTTTGCCTTTGAATTGCAAGCATGGATGCTACAAACACGCCTTTCAGATTTTCAGATGGCGCTACATGACGCCTTGAGCTTTCTCGCTGTCAAGCACATGCTCGTCTTTCTGTTTCTTTTTCACACAAACACATGCAGTGTGTCACTGTTTGACTGTCATACAAACAGACAGACTCACACAAGAGCTATCCCAGTAATTCAGCTGAGTTTAGGCTCATGTGTTGGTGTCTGTCAGTAGAAAGTCCAAGCTAGTTCAGAAATAAGGGCTCCATAGTTAGCTGTGATATTGTATATAGTTAATGGTCTTCCTTTGCCTTGCTGCTTATTCTGTATACAGGACTCGTTGCTGATTGATTGTTAGCATGTGTGTGATAATTTGCCTCTGGACATATTTCATATCTGATTGGGCTTGTTTTTGTTTAGCCTGTCGTTCTTCTTATTTAATCAGTTCTGATTAAAGTTTTGGATTCCATGTAGATATTTCATATCAGTCAAATTTAGGTCCCTGCCACTTAACTGTGTATTTGTGATGTTTTGTTAGTATTCCTCCTGTGTTTACGGTTGTTACTCAGCTATCCAAACCTTAAATATAATCCAAAAAACATCAACATGTTAGATTTAATCGTCAGCGAATCTTAGTCTCCGTCTTAAATGTCAGCATCAGTCGGTGTGGGTGTGGTGGTGCTTTTCAGTCCTTGAGATGTTTGCTTTGGAGCTACTCTTTGGTTTTCTTTGAAGATTAAGTAGAATTGAATAGAAATAGTCAGATATTATCTCCGCCTGAAACCTATAACATGCTTTCAAAGAACACAGTTGTCATCAGTATTTGCCTAACAGCCTGAGACCCTTAGGTTTGGTGTTCTTGAGCATTTTCATGGTTCGGTTGAAGGTTAACCAGAGGAAAGAGTTTACCACAGTGATTGGACCAAAAATGGTTAAATATTAAAATGAATATAAAACTCATACATTTTCCAATTCTGATATGTTCACACTCGAAGCCTGAAGTGTTTAAAGTTGTTAAAATATTCTATCACAGATGTGTCAGCTTACGTTTTTTTGTATCATTTCTTTACTATCTATATCTATATCTATATCTCTATATCTATATATATCTATATATCTATATATCTATATATCTATAGTAAAGAAATGATACAAAAAAACGTTAGCTGACACATCTGTGATAGAATATTTTAACAACTTTAAACACTTCAGGCTTCGAGTGTTTAAAGTTGATAAAATATTCTATCACAGATGTGTCAGCTAACGTTTTTTTGGAAAATGGTATCATTTCTTTACTATAGATAGATAGAGAGAGATAGATATAGAGATATCTATAGAGATATCTATAGAGATAGATAGATATAGAGATATCTATCGATAGGTAGATAGATCGATATAGAGATATCTATCAATAGATAGATAGATATTTAACAGGGTTGCTTGGTAAAACATTGGTTTAAATTGGTTAAAGTCTAAGACATAACAGACTCATATTTTATTTAAGCACATTTTCTTTTAATTATAGAAAGTAAATGATTGAACTAAGTCATCCACACTGCATTTTGATAAGAAGCTAAAAATAAGGAAAACGTTGTGCTGAAAGCCAAAGTAAGGGAATCGCTGCAAAAAAGATTCTGGCACTGAAGTTGTGTTGTTTATGTTGTTTCAGTGACAAGATGAGCCAAAGTTAAAATTGAAATTAAAGCACAGCTTATACTAAAACACACAGTGACAGTGTGACTGCCAGTCGAACATTGTTGGCTGCTGAGGTGTGATGTGCAACCTGCTGCATAGTGTGGAGTCTTTTTTTTTTTTGCAGTGCACTTAAAGAAGGAAAAGAAATGCTCAATGTGACTGTGGGCTTTTTGTGGGAGGGGGAGGAGTCGATCAGGTAATTTGTTGCTAACGCCAAGTTAAAGTTAAGTAAATGTAAACATTAGCTTTGGGTTAGTCCACAGTTGTGAAAACACGGGTGAGAATTTAGTTGAACGACAGCATATTCACCAAAACAAGCTGCATTCACTGGCCGGAGTAGTTTGTGTGTGAACCTTTTCATGACAGGGTTCTTCCCCGTTCTGCACAGCACTGCTTTCATTTCCTGTAGCCGGGATGGAAGTAAAGCCAAAGACGAAAGTACAACTAAAATGATAAATCACAAGCTTTAGAACTACTGTTATGATTTTGTGCTTTTCTGAGGAGGAAAGCTAGTGTTGAACTGAGAACAAATGATATCTCGAGTGTCTTTTCAGCAGATCAGCAAAACTATTCTGTGATTTCAAGTAATACTTGATTATGTAAGCTGTCCATATCTCCACTAGGAATCCCAGGCAGCTCAGAGACAGATCCTCATGGAGTTCCTTAAAGAAGCCAGGAGAAACAAGAGAGAGGTACGGCTGCACAAAGCTGACACAGTGCTGAGCAAAGAGCAGTATTTGTAATGGCTGACACCCAGCTTTGTGTCAGTCCACCACAACTCGTTAAGTGTTTGTAGGTGTTAACAAAGGCAAGTTCAGTTGTGTTTTTGGTTTTGTTGGCAGCAACTAGAGCAACTGCAGAAAGAGCTCAACTTCCTCGAAGAAGACATCAAACGTGTCGAGGTAGGTAAACTGACAAAGCGCAGTCCAGAGATGGATTACTGTGCCCTCATTCACATGATGTTCTCTCGTGAAAATACGGGGGAACAGAATGCATGATTATAAAAACATATTATCCTGTGAAATCACAAAACCCGGGGCCGCTCATCATCACAGCTTGAGATGGACAAACAAGTTATGTTGGTGTCATTTTCCAGGAAATGAGTGGGCTGTACTCTCCTGTGATGGAGGCTGAGTGTACTGTGCCTAATGTGGAAGCTCCCTCTCCAGCACCCAGGTAACGCTGATGTCTGCCGCATAATAAATGTGTCTGTGCACAACATAATGACACCATATTCACCTTGTTTACCAAAACAGAAGCTCGTTACGAGCGCAGACGTGTGCTTGCTCATGAAAACGTTTTGCCTTTTGCTCTACAACAGCTGCTTTGTCTGTATGGAACAAAGCCAGTGCATACAGAGGCTTCAGCAGTCGCTGT